TTTCTGATGATGACATAATTAATGTCGAAATATTGAATCCCAACACGATGGCGTGTATTTCAATACTTGGAGTATGTATTATACTTTCTTATTTGAGTAATACCATTGTCTCACAGCAACACTGAACATTGTATTCTGCCGTGGATATTGGCCCAACAAAAATCCTTACTGATTGATTGATTGTTTAATGCTTTCAAATAAAAACAACAGTAGGGAGAATATAATAACAGGAAAATAATAAAAGAAAAAGAAATAATGTGTAATAAGTAAATTTGATACATTACATACAAATATTGTTGGTATGAGCACTGGCAAAGACACCAGAGCACATATAATAAATCAAAATTATTTGATTATGTAACATCACAATAAATGTATCTTGTGTCTTGTAAAAACAACTAATACGAACAGTTAAATAACAGCTGCATTGGCGACTGTTAGGTAGTGTTAGAAATTTTAACTGAATTACTATTAAAATTATATCTTCGTTTGAGGTCCAGAGAAACAGAATCCAACGCTGGTCATTTCCTCAAACCTATTTTATTTGGTAGTCAATGCAAGGAAACAGGTGTGTTGCTATGGTGACCTTTGAAGCTACTCCGTTGCTTTAATTCATAATTGCAAACTCCTTAATTTCAAGAACGTTTACTATGCTTTCTTAATGATATTTCAAGCTAGTTTTTATCGTATGTGCTTTACCAATCAATATCTGAATTATACTAATTACTTGTTCCAACACAATTACGATATGGCAATATTTGAAATCTTATATTTCTTGTATCAAATGCTAAAGAGTGGTCAATATAATAATATGATAATGAATAAGTATGTAACTGTTGTATATTTAGATTATACATTTAGTATTACCAAATACCCAATGAAAAAATTTAATAATTTTGAGCTTTTGTTAACACACTATAATGGTCAAAAGTTGTAAAAAACAATTAAATTGAATTCATATCGTTGAATTATATAAATTGGACCATTAAAAGAATCAAAACTATAAGTTATATAACTTGTTTTATATTGACCCAACTTAAACAAACAAGTAGTGAAAATGAAAATTATAGTATACCCTTAAGAAAAGACATTAAATAATATAAAAAATATGCAAAACAGTAGTGTTGCCAGTTTTAACTATATGAATTTTGAATGTTTTTTATGCTGTTCCCGGCACATATTCCCCAGCACAATTAATTGCATTTAATACAACCCGTTTTGAGTGGTAACTTTATTTTGAATAATGATACTAAAATATACAATTCCCATCTCAACAACTGATTGGCCTTACCTGTCCACTTGTAATGATGAGGTCAGCAGGGGAGAATCCTTCTTTTGTTAATTGGACATGGACCACACTACCTGGTTCTATAAGGACAGCAATGAAGATAGAAGGTTATATTATTTATATGGGAAATAAGAAATTATAATAGAAGATATATGAGAGAGAACTCTTATGTTTTGCTTCTGTACTTTTCCGGAATAAATGAATGAATGAATAAATAAACTGCAATTGCATCACTGTAATTTATTCATTGTAAGCAAGTGAGCAATGTAATTTCCATTGGGCATACAACATTTTTTTTGTCAAAGAAAATTTGATAGTGTGGACAGAGCTTAAGATAAAGCCTTGTCCAGACTATCAAATTGTATATGACAAAAACATGTGACATGCCTAAATATGGTCATGAAGACATAATATCATAATCATATAGGGTCCATTATGACTATATATGGACATACAACAATATTTTTTCAAAGAAAATTTGATTTGAAAATCTGGACAGAGCTTAAGCCATCTTTATACATTGTTTCGAGGACCCACCATTTGCCAATAATGATTATTTAAAATAAAATTAATTATATTTTGGGACTGTTAGTCTATTTTACATTGCCACATTGTATTGTTTATACATAATGCAATGGGATCCCGCGTGATGGCCTAAAAGCACTCTCAATTAATTCTAACCTATTATATTTTAATATTATACTTTACTATGCTACACTGAACTATACAAACTACAATACACTATGCTATACGAGGTTATATACTATATCATACTAATCTCACTATTTATATAAAATACAAATAACTGTACCTGCTCTGGTCGATTGGTGGCCAGATTTTGGTCGGCGCGTGGAATCCCAACGTCCATCTTCCCTAGAAGCACCGGTCCCCATGGTGACACTTACAGAATATCAACAGCCATCCTAAATAATAAGTAATATAATAATATGTCATGTTATTGTTTTTTGACCATTTATTGTAGTACCATAACATACATTTGATACTAACAAATAGCTGTGCTCGATTAGAAACATGCGATAAGATAAAAACAAAATATACTAGAACAATATCAGACATTATAAATACTATCTATCTTGATAAACCTCCTTCGACCGATGGACAGTACACAGTAATATTACAACATGAATTTAAATTGTGCAAGATGAAAAAAAAAAAACAATAAACAATACTAGAAAAATAAACAATAGTAAAGAAAAGATCAGACATTAAGCAACTTCAATTTTTTTATAGTCTTTTTGAAAATGGGAATGCAATTTTAACTGCATCGTTGAAATGGCAATTGGTATTCCGAAGTCAAGAAACTGTTGGAAAAAAGCAAGGACGACATAGTTTTATATTTTATACAATTAAAAGACATTTATCAGTGAAACATTAAAGCATGCTTAGAAACATATGGAAAGAATATTTGCTTAATACAATGGTGACATTAAGAAATGATTTTTTAAGTGAGAGCAAGAGTAATTAAACTTACCTGCTGGCTACATCAGAGATAATATATTACACAGTTACTAAGTAGGCTATCTGTATTTACAGTAAATGTATTTCCGAATATTAAGTAGCAACAAAACATGAAAGATTCACTCTAAGATCGCATAGAAAATGCTTTGATGAATTGTTTTCAACAACAACAGCCTAAGTTCTAATTTCAATCTTGTCTTGAGGTTGTTTCCTCATGACTTCCTGGATACTAGGTCTCCAAGACTAATCAATAAAGACCAGATGTTTTCCAAACACTCGTTCTTTCAACGTGTTGTTACATTTCACACGGAGCATTGATAGATCAGTTTACCTGATTGTGGTGTCGACTCTTTGAGACGACTTGAGCAGTCAATCCAAAGATATGAAACGCGATGCTATTCAAGGGCATGAAGCATAAACATTAGTACAATCATTAGATGCATTAATTTAATACATAGAATGAGTTAAATTTTTTATGCAATGTTACGGATACGATGGAAGACAGTACATGCTTGACTGAAGTAATGTAAGCCCATTAGGAGAAAATTTAAATAATATATATATATATATATGCCTTGAAATTATATTTATATCTGAGCTTTGTTTTTATTATTTGATTTGTTTATATTATATAAAGTTTCTCTGTTAAAAGCTCCCCCCACCCCCTTGAACACAAACTTGGGCCAACAAACACACCACAATGGTTCTTTTCTAGCATTATTACTGTATTTCACAACGAAGAATAGAGTCCAAATTTTTATAAATAAGCTGAGTGGTCTAATATAGGCCTAGGCAGGCCTACTGACAGTAAGCTATTTACCTTTGGGTGCCAAGCAAATTAGGTTTGCACTCCACCACTTAGTCCTGTCCCAAACCCAACCAAGCGGCAAAGGACAGAGGTACCGTACTGTACCTAGTGACCCAACCACCCCAAATAAAAAACACAATTCAATCTTACGGTAGCTGCAGGGGAAACACAAACAAATAAAATCTTTACGATTTACCTTCATGTTTCATTTGGAACACATACAGCTTCCAAAACTGGTGATAATCACTCAAAATGATGTTGAAGTTCGCTACCACATATAATAGATAGTACCAAACTTGCAGTGACAACAAGCGAGCGCCGATTGGAGAGGGCGGTATAATTGTTACTCTTTTGTTGACAGTTGCTACGTACTTTTGATTGACTACTTATAATATATTTTCAAAAAAGTAATGCGAACGAAAGAAAGCAAACAATTGCCGATTGGTTTTCAATCGGCGTGAACAAGTGAATGAATTTTATTCATCCTTGGTATGGCAATACTACTTTAGCAAGTGAAATATGCATATTCGTGGGTGGGGCGAGTTGGTTGGGGTATGGGGGTGTAGTCAAGATAATTCAATTTAATTTTAAATGTTTCTTCCAAAGCTTATATGTATTACAGTACAGAAATATAAACATTACAATCTGTTGTTATGGATTACGTGATAGAATGTTACAGTTAGAGCCTACATGTAAACCGGCCTTCCATTTTTATAATTAATAAGATCTATCTACAAACAATACCTTCATTCTTACTTGATTGCAAACAAATTTTAGCGAAAGTTATATATCTTAATAATTATGTGTCATTTGTTAAAAGAAAAACTTCCCAGTGTGTCAATCACACTTAACAATGGACCAATCAGATCAGGACCAGGAACATGTGCTTGTCACTCTCCACAAACGCACATGTTTCCCCACAAACGAACATGTTGCCCCACAAACGCACATGTTGCCCCACAAACACACGTGTACGAAGCGCGTAATAAATAAATAAATGTAGCAAAATATTAGAAAGCAGTTAATGTATTACGCGCCTCAGTTAATAAATTAATTCATTCCTTTAAATCATTTAAATGAACAATTCAATATTTGAACAGAAATATTGGATTGGTTTTTTTTTTCCGAATAACAAACTTTGAAGGATTTTCCCACTTTTATATAGAATACGCTCGAAACTGCACAGGTGATTGCACACGCTCGAGCTGACGTTGTACGCTCGAGGTGACTTTCACACTACATACATGCGGGTGAAAAACGTCAGAAGAATGGCAGACAAATTTCTAGAACTGCAACAGCAGATGCGGCACAATCAGGAAGATCTCAAAGATTATTTACGTGATTTAGATAACTGGGAGAATAATATAAAGAAAAAAGATGCTGAATTACGCGCAGGAGACTCTTCAAATCAGCAAGTAAGTTTGGTTAGGCTAGGCCGTGTAAGCTAGAGTATATATGGCTTTCAGAGTCCATGACGACGGCGGACGCTGTCAGTGTTGACAACCACTAAAGCTAGGTAGGAGAACTTAGGCCTAGGCCCTAGAATTAAGTTTATAGGAATATGATCGGTATTTTAGAATGATTGGGCCTGTGTGTATTTAGATACATCATTAGGTTAGTATTGCCGCCAAGATTAAATTGCAATTAGCCCACTACTACTTAGTCTTATTAGTAGTATTAGGCCTAGCCAAGTAGCCTAGTCTACTAGGCCTACCTAGGCCTATATTTAATTAATTAGTAACAAACCTCTTTGTCTTTCCAAAACCCCCAGTTTGCGTATGTTCATTTTATAATAGTTAGAATCATGGCGTGGCATGGTGGTATTTCAAAAAGAATCCTGCCAACAATCCAATTTTTGCTTAGTCCTTAGGATTGACTAGTTTCTAGAGCATATCTCTGCCAGCAATCTATTCAGGGGCAGCTGACCTCTAAATGTAGGTCGTCATCATACTTATTCATTTTAATAGACCTAGTAGGCAACAAATAACAAATATTAGTCATATGTATGTCATATAGGAAAGTATATTACGCTGTACACTTCATTTTAGTGTATATTATTTTGTTTCTAAAATTGAAGCTCAAAAGTAAATTATATCATATTTTTATTTTAAAGAAGAAACTTCCTCCTGTTCGTAACCAAGGTGTTAAAGAGAAGCCTAAGCGAAGGAAGAAACAGTCTGAACCAAAGACAGAAGAAGAACCCATGTCAGCCAAAAAGCCACAACGAATTAACTCTTATGATTATAGGAAATGGGACCAGTTTGATGTAGTAAGTATAAAGTAGTGTTACTTTTGTAAACATTATGGGTTTGCCATTTCTGAAAAGAGGATGAACAATAATAAACTGTGGTAATTTACCCGTGAGGCATCAATTGAGGCAATGTCAATAATAATATGGTGCAGGACTGATTTTGGCAGCCAAAAGTGTGATGTCATCATGGCTATATTTAGATCTGTCAAACTTAAAATGTGAACAGGGCTTCTTACAAATTTCCAATACTGTATAGAGTATTATTATTATCCCTCCTCGCTTTACTCCTTTTAGGGGGTGTTAAGGAGTATTGATCCAGATACAGATTATTGTTGTTGCTACTGCTGATGTTGTTGTTATTGTTGTTGTTATCATTATGTCATTGTATCTTTTTTTAAAGGACAAAGCATGTGCTGAGATTGACAGTGGAGGAGAAGAAAAACAAGAAAGTTCAGAATATGAAACAGATAGTGATGCAGAAAGAGAGGAAAATACAAGACAACAGAAAATGATGCAAGCTAACATGGAGAAGGAAAAGGTTTGCTTAGGAACATTTTACTTTTATTTGTTTACTTAATTAGTTATTTACTTAATAAGTGAAATTACAATATTGCCTAGAAGAAAATTCTGTAAGCAAAAACAAAAGCAACAAACAATCTGCTCTATGACATCAGTGCCAAGGACAGCAGGTGCTTTAGGGAGGGACAGAACCCCTGTCAGGAGACCCTGGGACCCCTATCCGCGAAGAAGCCACTCGTGTCGTTGAGTGAAAGTGCTTTGAAAAGCATTTTGACAGTTGGAGAGTAGACCCCTATCTGGCACCTTGGACCCTCGGGAAATCTTTGGCACTGCCATCAACAATCTTTACAGGTACTGGTCTCCATCCAGTTAAAGACCACTCCTTGGACCGAGGTTTCCATGGTCTTTAGCAGATTTGGTCTCCAATTAGAATAATAAAAAGATAAAAGACATTGTTAACTTGGGGCCACAGAAAAGTGGTCTTTAATTGGAGGGGTCTTTAATTAGATGGAGACCTGTGTTTAGAATTTCTTATTATTATTGTTCTTTATCAGGGCAATGCATACTTCAAGGAAGGCAAGTATGAGGAGGCATTGTTGTGTTACACAAGAGGAATTGAAGCCGATGTTACCAATGCAATCTTACCAGCTAATAGTGCAATGGCTTTATTGAAACTTAAAAGGTAAAATATGAATATGTTATATGTATTAACTGCATGTTGAACATTTATGACTATGAATATATATGACTATGTATGAATATTTATAAATGTATTTGAATAAATATGAATATGTTTAACCTTCTTATGCAGTCCATGCATTATGGTTCCCAGTGGCAGATTCAAGTTCAAGTCGAGGTGGGGCCAAGCTAGCCCCCCCCCCTCTCCAGCCATCAGGGTTGCCATAATCATAAATTTTCTTACCTCAGCCCCATCTGTGAAAGATTCTCCCTGGTCCCCTTTATTTTGAATACCAGGATCTGCCACTGGTTCCTCTGTCCACATGTTCAGAGGCTTCCATCTTCACACCTTGTCATCATTTTATATGTTGTGCTGAAAAGAGAACAAGAGAAATTGAATTACATCCAATAAACTAAACACTTTTCATGACTAGGTTTGAAGAAGCAGAATCTAACTGCAGTTTGTCATTATCGCTAGATTGTACATACGTCAAGGCTGTTGCTAGGCGTGCATCTGCCAGACTAGCCCTAGGGAAACTTACTGAAGCTAAGAAAGGTATGCTGTGACACTACCTACAATCTAATTTATCCAATCTGGAGGAAAGATTTTTCTCTGCTACTAAACCGTAGAATGAGGCTTGGGAATGTACTCATTTATATTCATAGGTTAAAAGAGATGCTAAACAGTATAAGCAATCTGATCAGCATTGAACACAAATACATGACTTTCCAAAAAAGTATTTCTTTTGCAACCCATAATACAGTCTCTTGTTTTGGGGTTTTTTGTTTTTTTGTTCAGATCATTTTGATGAAACATTTTTGTTAATTCTGTTCTCCATTTTTTATGCAGACTTTGAACAAGTACTTGTCTTGGAGCCCTCAAACAAGCTTGCTGCAGCAGAAATAAAAAAACTTGATAAATTACAGAAAGCAAAAGAAAATGAGAAGACTTCTGCTCCGTCAAATATCATCCATGCTGTTCAGAAACCACATCATTTAAGATCTAAGGTGAGTTTATGTTATTGTCTAGCACTTAACCCTGTAACATCCTTTATGGAGGAATGATGGGATGAGTCATGAGCTAAAAATAAAAATAAATATAAGACAGTGTCCTAAAGTTGACCAAAAAGGCACTACAATAAACAACAGTTAAGGTAAAAAACCGTGAAAAATGGCAGGAATGAGTTTTATGGGATGCCCCTTAACCAGATAAAATCGTGGAGAAAAGAAAGCATTGTGAATGGTGCTATTTCACATAAAATTTTCAGTATTTCTAAATATATTTCATAAAAAATTATATTCTGTTCCCTTCTGTGTTAACTAAATTAAATTCTTTTTTTTTGATTGACAGAAACCATTGAAAAGAATTGACATAGAGGAGATTGGAATGAGGCAAGAGGATACACAAGAAAACTTATCTTCATTTGTTGAAACAGAAACGCAGCCAAATGACCTACAGGAAACTATCAACAGAATAGAAGTGTTACCAACAGACACTACAACAACGAATGAGAATCAACACAAAATATCTGAAACATCACAAAACATGTAAGAAGTGGAACAAGTTTGGCATAACATATAATTTGTTGGCATAAGTTTCACCTGTTCATTGCAGTTCTTTTTAATAAGATATTCGACTGGTAGTTCTTCCTTAAACCAGGCCCACCTGCGCAGTGGTAAAATCCTACATAACAAAGACGACCAGTCGAATAGAAAACTGGTATATACTCAACAAAACAAAATGGCTGCATAGTTACTGCGATACACGATGCGTAATCAAAACTGCTTCGGATTGTGGCAGTATGGGTTTTTCGTAAAAAGATTTTTTCATCCAGTTTTTGAATTCTGTTAGCCTAAAATTATTTTTTGACTTCAGTGTGGGTAAATATTATAATTTTTATTTTCTGAAATTTAATCTAAATTATATTAACGCAAATGTTGTTTGCTGACGAATCAGCCATATTTTTTTTGGTCATGTGTATAACTTAATTCTGGTTACGTTAATTTTCGTTGTCAACAAAATTATGAACCAGTCGAATGAAAATAATACTCAAAGAAAATTCGTACTCAACAAAATGAACCAGTTGAAAATTACAAAGTTTTGTCATTGTAAAATAATGAAGGAACTCTTGTTAATGAAAGTGGATTACCAAATTATATTTCTCCCTCCCCCTCCTCAGTGTACTGTTTGTATCCTGGTGAACACTTTATATTCAAAATGATTATTAATTATTAATTTCAACCCTTCATGTGCCTACTTTGAAGACTTATGGAGAGAGGTCCTATTTGGTTGTTTGCCCCAAGCTCTGGAATTCACTTCCACAATCTGTTCAAGAGGTCCCTAATTTGATAATATTTAAGCGCCACCTTAAAACATTCTTATTTGACAATCTCTAATTTTCCTCCACTCTCCTGTGTTTTTGGGTTTTTTTTCACTTTCCTATATTTGTTTTCTTTTTCTTTTCTACCACTTTCTTTTCTGTTTCTGCCATCTATTCTGTTTTTTTTTTTCTTTTTTCTTATTCTGGAAAATGTAGAGAGACAACTGTTGACCATTGACCATTCAGTTTATATACAGATGTATGTCATTGAGATCACCTCACTTACCCCTGCCTGGTCACTGGATACTGTAATTCAACTATGTTCCTTGTTCAGCTTCTTCCACTCTCTTGGGTGTACATTCCTAATCACACAGCTGTAAATTTTACGCCAGACACCTATAATTTATTTTTGTTAACTTTAGGATTTGACAGGTTCAGGAAATATATTTATTTTGAGATGTATCCAATTATTTAACACAGAAATACAACACCAGTAAAGAAGGCATCACAAGATGGAACAGCTGCTGTGCCGGTAATTGTTGATCCTCCTACTGTACCTCCTCTGCCACAGTCTTCCTATCATCTTTTGTCTGATTGGAAAAAACTTGAGAAACATCCTACACAACTTGTTCAGTATTTTAAAGTGAGTTCAGATATGATCTGTTTATGTTCCATCAGATTTAGAGGGGGCATATACCACTTCTATTTTTTGTTGAAAAAAGTTTTTGTAAAGCTTAGAAAATTAAATAGTAAAAAGTAATCACATATAAACTCAAATTAATGAAGGTGCTAGAGGTTTAAGGGGATTCGCCCCTTCCATCCCACCAGGGGCTTTTCCCTAAGAGTCTCACTCAGTTCACATATTCATGCCCCCTCTTTCTTGCCCGGGCTGGATCCGCCACTGGTCTATGATATATTCTTATCTAAAAAATTACACTAAATACCATATTATATAAAAACACTAGATTATTATATTGCTGGATTAAATAATTGAAATTTAAAAATAATTGAGTAACAGAAATCAAATTATAATTAAAGTGTAATTTTTTAAACAATTATAGCTGTATATTGATGATGGTAATATATTTAATTTTGTATTCTTTATTCTTTTTGCGTTTAATTTACAGCAAATTGATCCTGTTTCCTACCCAGCATTGTTCAAACAGTCCATGGAATCTGATATTTTATTCAAAATCCTTCGGTTGTTACAAGATCATTATGTTTCGTAAGTATTTCACCTACATTTCAGTTAAGATCGTATTAAACTCTAAAAATATACTATTGTCTTATATGAAATGCCTAATACTGGTATGTATATGTATAATTATTATTAAACTTCTCAAAGCCAATAAAGATATTTATTTTTACAATAGCTACTTCCAGAGTTATCTGTATTCAAAGCATTGACATGTGTAGCAATAAATACAGATTTGTTGAGGAAGATATAATTGTTTTCAGGTCAAATGAACCGATGTTTGCAGTAGTAAGCAACCTTACAACGGTCAAGAGATTTGACATGAATGTCATGTTCATGTCATCGGAAGAAAAGAAACGTAAGGAACTACTATGTCTTTAAAAAAAAATTATTAAGTTAAGTCTTGCTTTCTAAGTTCATTCTAAATCATATAAGATTTATGGAGTTTCTTGAGCATGTGTTGTTTGGCGTCCTCAATGGCGCAGTGGTATTTGCGTATTATTTTCTTTTAAAATGGGTTTCTTTCATTATTGCCAATCAATAGAATTATGTACTCCAAATTTTTATTAATATTATATAGTTTTGTTACAAATAGACAAAATCACATTTTCTATAGTAATGCACTTTTTAAAAAATGGTATGGTGCCCTCTATGAAGTATAAAGCAAAACAATTGATGGAAATAAGATTATGATATTGTTATTTCCAATCTCTTTTTTTTCACTTGTCATTAGTAAGTAATACAGTAATTATACATGTTTTTACACATTTTCTTTTATTTCAAATTTATTCAAAGCTGGGAAGCCTTCCATTTACAAAATAGGAACATAAAAAAATGAAAGCAAACACAACGCAATTTGAATTGACAAACAAATAAAAATTCACTTTAGACAAATGAATTATATAACCTAATAGTTATTCTTACATTACATTACACCTTTTTGAAGTATTGACTCTAAATATTATATATTACATTCTGGCATTTATGTAGTGGTATCTTATGAAGGTCATAGTGGAGTTTTTGTTTTATATTTAATAAACTGAAGTCATGAGATGCTTATAAGATGAGGAGAAAAAATTCCTAAATACATTAAATAAGTAATGAACAGTTTCGAAAGCATGTTTTAACAGATAAGCTAAATGTTAAACAAATAAATAGTTTATTATATTTGTTTTGTACCAAAACAGAAAGATGTACAAATCAAAAATTTACTTATATACAATTATTATTATTATTATTATTATTATTATTATTATTATATTATTATAAGCCATTCTTTGACAGAATATTTGGCTACCAGTGACTAACATGTCTAGAATGGTATTATGGCTTCAGGTCACACACAACTAACCTAGTCTAACCAAAAGATCCAAAGACCAATAAAATAAAATAAAAGCAAATCAAAGGCTAACAGAGACAGAAAGCCACTCTCCACCACACCGTTTCACCAAAAATATCATATGCTTACCTCTAAGTTTACATTATGAAAATGCGAAACAAAAACAACTGTGTTCCAAACTTCTCATTATTGTAATGCAAATATCAAAGAATGTATACCACTAAATTCAAACAGTTTAAAACCCTGTCCAGACTGTCAAATGTCCATATACAGTCATGATGTGCCTATATATGGTCAAGGTGTGATGTCATCATGACCATTTCCATGCATGTCACATGTTTTTTTTTCAAATAAAATTTGATAGTCTGGACAAAACTTTGGAAAATACAACACACGCAAACTGTACAGACAATTCCAGAACAGGCAGAAGGGAAAATACCATCACAAAATGTATGCCCTTTCAATCAGGAACAGATGGAGACACTTTTTCCTGTCACTTGTTATCTTCATATGGAAGACACAAGTTAAAATTTTTATGGGTTTTTCCATAAACTTTTTTTCTAATTTATTTATTTATTTTGGTATATATACATAAAAAAATATACAATGGGCAGCAAAAGCTGAAAATATTGTATTTACAATTACTTAAGAATATAAAAAAAAAAAAAAAACATAAAATAATATAATAATATTTACTAAATACATATAATATATGGATGCAATGTAACATCATCATATCCATATATAGGCAAATTACAGATATTTGTAAAAAGAACCCTTACAACGGCGTAGCTAGGGATGATCATAACAGGCCCCTGTGCAAGATTAATTACTGGGCCCTGTGATGTGAAATGTCAACCAAGGCCCGTAGCCAGAGTTACGGTTTCGGGTTTGGCATTGTTGTCATATATTTTCAATCTCAAAGATGTCGGGAAACGTAATTTGTCTCCAATTTATATGATTTATGATATCTGTTTTGTATAAACAGTTATACGAAACCCACAAAATATTCTACTATATTCTGTCGGTTAAATAAATAAGAAATAGAATAAATAAATAATATAAACAAAGAAGTAGACAAATAGAATAAAAACAAGTTAAAAAAACAAACTTGCCCTAGTTTCGTTGAAGTGTGAACAACCTCGTATATCCTGGTCCTAGAGAAACTTGCCAAGTATTGCTCTCACTTGTTCCTTCCTTTTCCTCTCTATCCCCCGGAAGTTCCAATGTTTCACTTTTACATGACCCACATGTGATTAAATTTTAAAAACATCAGATACTGTTTTATGTATTCAGTTTTTGTTAAAAATAACTAAAAGATTACTAAATTGAAATGTATATATAATCAATAATTAGGGAGCTTTTCGATTGCACGACGACTGTAGGACGTAGAACGTAATAAAAGTCATCGATGCATGCGAGAACGTTGAGTTCTCGTCATGTGGGTTCTGGATGGAATTTGGCCAAATCTACATATTATGCAGAGAATGTTGGACGCCTGGTAGAATGGTCATGCATGAGTGATTCTGTTCTAGCGCCACGTCGCCGTACAAATCAAAAGCTCCTTAATATATCATCTAAAACCTTTATTGAGGCTGTATTATTTTTTTTATTAAAGATTATGTAGGAAACATTAATTTTTTTAATTATAATTTTTAAAAGGCTATTGAATGCACTACCCACTGAACCTTGATAATGTGGACAGAAGGCATATCAAATACAATATAAACACGAATAATGAGATTACAAACCCTCTTCCTTTGTGCCATATCTGCAGTATGTAGTGAAAATATAATGGCCCGCTGTCAGCTCGGACTAGCCAAACGAAGCCTAGCATAATAAGACTTGCATAGCATCAATTGGGCGAGTTTTCCAATCTGCTGGCCAGAATTTGACACACGCTTATTCTGACATGCGGTCAATCTGTTCTCGTCTTGGCCTAGCCGAACCAGGCTGAATGATCCGCTGGAATTGGCTATGTCTGTTGCGGCTGGATAAGTAGTTTTTCAGTTGTGCTCTTGGAGGACACAAACACACATAGACACACACACAGATGCACACTATTGCAATACCTTTCACCTCTTGAAGGTATTGAACATCCTTCCATTATATAATTTTATATATATTCTTTTCACAGTGGTGAAGAATTTGTTAGAACATATTTCAAAGAATGAGGATATCTGTGAAGCAGAATTGGAAAGCATTTCGAAGAAATATGGATTATGACAAGATGAGTGAGGGCGCACTTTCAAGCAGTTAGCTAATGATATTACTGTATATGATATCAAACAGATCGTTTGATAAGCTGATATTTAGCATGTTTCTACCAAGTATGACTATTATATTTTGATACCAGCATCTCAGGGGTCCCAAGTCATATTCCTGAAGAATCTGTCGTGTAGATCTGACTGAGGTTGCGATGTGTCTTCTAGCTGAAACGTGTGTACAACTTAGTACAAACTTATCACCATACTATAAAAGCAAAGAGGCTTGGGCAGGTTTGGGTCACTCTTAATATGTCATTGCCGCACAGAATGTTCGATAGATCTTATGTCAGCCTTATTAAAAAATGGGAAAATGCAACTTAGCCAAGCCCAAGTTGTGAATTTTTGTTAAAGTCCTTGAGAAATTCAGGAGATCCGGGGGAAAATATGGAGTGTCCTGGTGACCGGGAGATGAACCAAAATTCGTGGAGTCTTCGGGGCAACCCTGAAGACTTGGGAACTCTGCCAGCTATTTAAGCCAAGCGACATTTGAAAACCTGAAAGTCAAGGCTGGGCCTGGGAGTAAATAACAGGAAGTTCGAAGAAAATATACAAGGTCACTGCAATGCATTGTGGTAATGCAAACAACCCACAAGGTCACCAGTTGATTTTTTTTCTGCAGTCAGTTTGATGCCAATAATGATTTTTTTTTTTTCATGTGAAACACATGTATTAATGGCATGACTCCACATGTACCACCTCAGAAGGTGGGTGGTAGTTAATGCACCAGAAAGGAATCTGTATCATGGTCCCTCTACTCTGTTTATACTTGTTACATGAAAGTATTCTAAATAGAAACTAGACAGTCACGTAATGTCTATAGACGCTCGGGAGGGGGATGGCAAGCCCCAGGACCCAGTCCAATAGGGTGTGTTTAATTGAAAGTTGATTCTACAGATTAAAGTCACACAATAGAATTGTAGTCTTTAACAATACCGAAATTGCCTTTAAAGCAGTCTTTTCAACCTCTTTACTCATAATGCCTGTAGGTTGGCGAACACTTTACTGAAATGGGCCTCCAACACGTTTTCACCCTGGGTCCAAAATGACTCGTCTTTACGCCAATGGGAAGACCAATTTCTAGTAAGAACATGTTGTTTGATGCGTCAGATATAAAAAATATATATATATATATATATAATAAGTAAAAAAGATTGTATATACATTTGGTGTCGTATTTATTATTGTTTAAAAGATTGTTCAGTGGTGTGTAAAATTATAGTAGGCCTACTTAAAAAATGTATCATTAGACAAAAGAAAACACTGTTGCTAAAAGATCAACCGACCAAAAATCGCGGAAATCAATTTTTTTTTCCGTAATCATGGACCCTTCCGGAGTGTCAATGACAAATTGACAACTGGCCAATCAGAGCAGCGCTAGGTATACGCGCATGTCCCACTAACACCGCTTTGATGTACGTTTTAGTGGGACATAAGCAATAATGTCAAGGGGGCGGGGCGATCCATTCATTCATTAGTTATCCTACGGTGATACCCATATTATTTTTGTGGTTAAAGGTAAAGGTAGGAGAATAAACCATAACGCACAGCGTTATTGTGTTGAATTGCGTATGGCTACCAGCGGTCGTAAGAGGCGTTTATGGTAGCTGCATGCTCAAATTATCCCGTAACAACAGGGGCTGAAATGAACGATAGTATTGGGGTAACCCACTACTCTTCCGAAAGCTGCAGCAGTGGGTTCTTTAAAGTGCACACGAGCCAGATGTGTATACTGGACCTCCATTATAAGTCTTAATCCGAGAAAACTTTGGTTGTACCAACCAAACCCTGGGCGAGAAGCAATTGAAACCAGCGCCGATGTTAAGGCTGTAAATAGCATCTCCCCTGCCTTACCACTCGGCCACTCGACTTAGCCAATAGAGGACTCAACAGTTATAGAGGATGTATTGACTGATCATGGATTGTGCTACGTTTTTTGCATATTACCCTTTATGATTTCATTCAATTTTCCACCCAGCTTCATTTTATTTCTTCTAGATGGTTTTAAAAATTCTATAATCACTTGTAAATTCAGATGAATGGATAGTAACAAAAAAGTAAACTGGCTATTAGTTTTTAACATTGAACCAAACTCGAAGGAATGGTGCTGGTGACCATAACCACTTGGAAATTATGTCCAACATAATTTTTAACTTAAACAGAGAATTGTATAAAGCACATTTTGAGTGAAAGAAACACTTCTTCGTTAATTAAATTCGAAAAGAATGAGGATACGTGACATCCTCCGATTGTGTTAGGCTTACCAAGTAGAATCGGAAATTGGCCAATGGTGTTGGTATTTTTTTTTTAAATGCGTATTAGGCCTATTATTTTACATTTTGATAAATACTCAAACGTATGCACACACCCGATATTTACTGCCAGCCAAAGCTTAACGTAAGAATCATATTGAAAACAAATGGGAAAAATTAAGGGAAGGACTAAATTAATATTGTAGTCTTAGATTGATAAGTGGTGGCATTGATGACGAATTTCTCGATGCATAACATTACAGGACGCCTAGTACAATAAAATACTATTTTTCAAATATTATTTTGCATACTTTGAAGGCACCAAGCATCCTTCAATGGGAATAGTCCTGGCTTCCTAAATTATTTAGTGTACGTACAAGAACCAAGAGTCCATTTTCTCCTTTTTTTTCCTTTTTTTTTTGTTGTTGTTGATATCAGACTTAAAATGTTCTTATTTTTATTACGTATCAGTATATTACCAGGGAACAGTTAAATTACATTTTAATTTAACTGTTCCCATATATCACTGTACTGTATTGGTAATTTAACTGTTCCGTGGTATTACATAGTCACACACAATGTACAGATAAGATTTGCTGGTTTTTTTGTTTTTGTTTTTTTAATAGAAACCTCATTTTACATTTTACCTCGCCTCAGTTTGTTCTTATTTTGTTGTTATTTTCTAAGCAATTTCAGCCTGTGTGTCCTAATAAAAAAAAGTGTAGTAGGCCGGTTGCTACCATGCATATACTATACCTAATTAAATATCTACATTTTTCATCAATAATAACCTACGTATTATCTCTTACCAATTTAAGTTTCTAACATTTAAAGCTGATTTTATACTCTCTGAACTCGTTGGTTGAGAATCGCAACCGCGGCCACTTCATAAATTACACAAATATGGATTTTCCAGTGTTGCACAAGCCAAACCTTATTGGCATATTTTCATATTAAAATATATACCTCCTAGTGGTAGTATAATTTTCATCGACATTCCATAACCGACCACCCTGTAACGCGCGACATCGCATTCGTCACAACATTACATGACGTCACTAGAGCTGTCAAGGAAAGTTCATTAATAAAAAAAGCTCTAGTTTCAAAGTGCTACTGTTTCAAGCAAGCATAATAAGACTGGTCTTCCTTTAAATTGACACTTGTTTTTATTAATGAGTATTACTGTATACAGAATAGTATGAATATTTTTATTGTTTGAACTTTTCTCAACTTTGATATTACAAACCATCGCTCATCACCCACCCCTCTTAAAAACAAAACTGTAAATACCATAGTATTTCATAACAACAAACAGCGGCAGCTTCCAATGTCAATAAACGGGCAAGTCGCTACCTGGTACCACGCAGGAGGTATACAGTAGTTTAAGTACTTCCTGGTACGGTTGATCTTCCGCTTGCTTGTTTCTTGTAAGGATTCCTTTCGGAATTAGAGACATCTGTTAAACACATCAATCAACTTTTTTTAAATCTCTCTGTATCTTATACACATCTAGATGTGTATAAGAGACCG